CACATGGCTCATTTGATAAATAATAGATAATAGACAGATGATAGGTAAGAAGTCGGTAGGTGATAGGCAGTAGATAGCTGTAGGTATGTGATAACTATATGTAGATGACAGGTAGATAGATATGCAGATGGACAAACGGTGGGTTTATGGATAATAGATGAGAGAGAGAGAGAAGAGAGAGCTTGCTTCTGAGAACCCCAGACAACCTCCCAACATTGATTCTGGGCCAAACTCTTAATAAAAAAGCAACAACATTCACCCACAGATGTTCTGCCAGCAGCCAATCTACTCGGTTATTGGAATCTGGGAGATTAAGTGGTGGCCTGGTTGTTTTATTTGCTCTCTGGATGGGGCCATTTTTCTTGCATATTTAATATCCTGGAGGAATATTTCCCCTCACTCGCTAAGCCAGCCAGGCAGCCCCTTCTCTGCCCAGCGGCCTGTCCCTCCATCTTCCGAGGCTCATCAGAGCGGTATTAGCACCTCCGTTTTCCATTATGTCACCGGGGAGGAAATGACAAAGGGATCGGCCCACTACAATGGCCCAACAGCTGTCACAGGAGCAAGGAGTCCGTGGCCTCCTCGGCATGCGCATTTCAGCTTTGGTCTTCCTAGCTGGCCCCTTCTCTGGGGCCGATCCTGCACCCCACGGAGACGGCCAATCACGTACCCCATGGAGAGGATGGATCTCGTACCCCACCTTCCATGGTCCTTTGCAAACATCTCAGAACAAATGGCCTTCGTGGACAACACCCACCTACGCACAACCTCGTCCACCTCCTTGGGGCGCCTGGTGCAGGTGACACGGAGGAAGGTGCTGGCACCACAGAGAGCGCAGCGCTGGGACAGGGGCTTCTTCTTAGGGGCTGACAGACACGTGCCGGCACAACCCGGCCATCCTTGTGTGTCTTCGTTGTCCTTGAGAACGGCAGAGGCATGGGGAACTCACGGTGGATCATCATGAGCAGGGACGGGACGGGGGTCTGGATAATAACACCCCCTCATGGGGTTACGGTTAATAGAGTCCTAAAGACCATCCTGGAATCTAGAGTAAGCGAGGGGAGCGAGCGAGGCCTTTGGCTTGTAAAAGCTTTGGTTGGAAGCACGTCCTCCGGTGAAGAGGCTCTCTTGGAGGACAACGCCCCCCCCCCCTCCTGACGCCACACTGCAGGGTCTGCTCTGACACCTGGCCAAGGACCTCCTGGACGCCACACTGCAGGGTCTGCTCTGACACTTGGCCAAGGACCTCCTGGAGCTGCAGCAGCAGCAAGGACACGGTCTCCCGAGGAGCTTTGGGCTCAGAGAGGCACTTCCTTTGGATACTGGGATGTCAGCTAGACTTGGGGGAAGATGGGGTGGAAGGAGCCCAACTTATCAATCATGTTGCGGCCTGGTGACCCCTCCTTGGGGGTGTGGCCTTTTGTATGAGAGAGAGAGACCCAGCGCAGAGCTGAGGGTTCTGGCTCCTGAACCGTCTGCTTTGCCCATCTCCTGCCACCCAGGAGCTGTAGGTGGTGGGCTGCCGGGCTCGGATACATTGGCCTCTGCATCCACCAGCCTGCTGGGTCACCCTGCTTCCTGCTCGCTGGCTCAGGGAGCTACACGGGTCAGCAGCAGTCAGCTCACACCTGACCCAGGTGCTCGAGCCACGCCCACAGCCGGTGGGCTGTTTCTCCACTCTCTCTGGAGACAAACTGCAAACATGGCTGGCTCTGCTTCTCTGGAGAAGTCCGCCCGGCACAGGTACCAAGGGAAGCGGCCCCAGAGCCCACCGAGAGTCTGAGGTGGCAGGGCTCACCTGCCAGGTGTGAGACTTGGGTTTGATTTCCAGCCAGTGCACCCACCCCACCCCTCCAGCTGCCACCCGTTGTTCCTGGAGGCCTGCCGTGCTGAGCTACTGAACTGGTTCCAAACTCTTTGACTCAGAAGAACGGCCTGGTGCTCCACTTCCAAAAATCAGTCCAAGAACCCGAGTGGGCCACAGTGGGTGTGGCAATGACATCATCGGGGGTCACCTTGAGACTTTGACGAGTGAAGGGGTGGGTTTAGCCTGTCAATCAGGTCACAGCTGGATGACCTCATTGAGAGGCGTTGGGGAGATACATAACCCTCTGGCAGCCAGACACACTCTCTCTGCTACACATTCCTATTGACAAGCCCCATGGAGCTGCATTGATGGAGCCAGAGCCCTGGAGCTGGAGGAGCCACGTGGAGACCCAGACCATCGCTGAGATACTTCCACTGTCACTGCATCCACTAAGTCTTGGATCCACCCATTGGCCTGTCATCTTGCTGTATTTGGCATCGTTGCATGTGTTGTGTGAGACTGGAAGAGGAATTTATAGATTGGTATCAGACCTATGGGCTACTATCGGACTGGTGGACTTGATCGGGACTGGGCTGGGGTGTTTTCTCAATATACAACAGCTGTTTGATACAAAGCTTTCTCTCACACACGAGCATCATCACCGGATTTGTTTCTCTAGCCCCCCCCCCCCCCCCCCCCCCCCGACCAGCACATGGTGGGGTCCACCACGGGTCATGGGGATGGTGCAGGACAGAGAAGCATTCCCTCCACTGGTGGAGCCCAGGGCCAGCTCCGGGGCAGCGGCCACAGCACGGCGGTCAGGTGACTCTCACAACGGAGGAAGGGGCCAGCAAGGGGCATGATGGCAATCAGAGCGAAGCACCGATCTCCCTGAAGGATGGGGCTGGGGACTGCCCTGGCCCTTGGCATTGGGCCCGGGGCTGAGTTGGGAGCAGGGCAGTGGGGAGAGGGCATAGGAAGGCACCCCTGGCCCAGGCAGCCTTGGTGGTTAAGACCTGCCCAGAGAGGTCTGTGTGGGGACAGCAAATTGTGGGCCAACATGGGCTATGCCAGGCAGGTGGGGGTTCTCGGAGGTCCCCGAGGGGCACCAGGGCATCCCATGTGTCAGTTGTGGGCATTGTCAGCGGGTGACCAGAGGAACGGAAAGGACCAAACTGAAGGCCAAGGATTGGGCAGGACCATTTGAATCAACACCTCCCATGTCCTCCCCACCCTGCCCTGGGTGGGGGTCACCTTCACCCTGGCCTCCACTGCATGTCCACCGTGGTCACTCCCCTGTGACAGGTTCTGGACCCTATGAGATGTGCCAGGCTCAGGACTGCCCACCAGTATGGCAGGACAGCTGGTTGCAGACCTACGTGAGGGAGCTGGGCGGCGAGAGGAGGAGCTTGCAGGTGTCTCTGCTGGCAGCACCATGACCTTCCAGCTGCATGCCCGCCGCATGGGTGTGGGCGGTGGGAGAGACGGAGGGCAGAGATGGGGGGCTTTGGGTCTGACAGCACCCTGGGTTCACGGGCCAGCCCCCAGCCCTCCAGCCTCCTCCTGCTCTGGGCAGCTCTACGTGTGCCAGGGTCTTTGGCAGCTCAGCTTTTGGGAGTTCGCCTGCCAGGCTTTTCCTCTGAGGGGCCTCAGGGGGACAGGGACCTCCATCCTTTCCGTTGGCAGCCCCGTGTGAGAGCTGACTGCACCAGTGAGCGAGGGGCACGGGGGAAGGAGACTCCTAGCTCAGTGGTGGCTCTGACTTTGTGGGGCACGGCGGTTAGAGACCCGAGAGGGCAGGAATCCCTGCAAGGTCCCAGGGGAGGCCCACTGAAGCCCTGGGTCCTGTCTGCAAGGACCTGTTGGTGTCCACGCTTTCAAAACCCCCGCCCCGCAGAGAAGACAAGGAAACACAAAACATTTCCTAATCCTTTATTGTTCCTTAGATAACTGGATAGTACAAAGCCTCCTTCCGTTGCAGTTTTGTTTTGTTTTTTACTTAAAAAGAGTCCCGTCCTCCCGCTGTGGCACCTCACGAACACCCGCTCCCCAGCGGAAACCCAGGTCTCCCAAGAGATGCCCTTCAGAGCCACGATGGGCACACTCGCTCAGGGCTGAGCCACACGGACCGGAGTCAGTCAGTCTCCGTCAGACCCGACACTGACTTCTTTATTATTTTTTTTCTTAAGGAACAAAACCACCCCCTTTTATGGACCGGAACTACGGCATTGCATGTACGACGGTCATTGCATAAACTGAACACAGAGTCACCACCTGGAGGGGACAACAACGACACTGCACAACACGTCTACGGCTACGCAAGTTCAAACGACGCAGGCACTAGGACTTGGTCCGCGCACCCCGACCACCCGCCCGCTGAGCGCTAGGGTGACACGGCCCGGAGCTACCAGGGCCCTCCACACAGCTCATCTAAGAGACAACAACACGCCAAGAGACAAGGGAGGCGATGGGGGGTGAGTCACACTAGCCTACACGGACCCGGGCAGCCCCTCAGGCTCTGCCCCCAGCCCCCCGTGGATAACCGGGCCATCTTACTTGGCGGGCTGACCCACCCCTCGGCACAAGGTCCATGCGATCCTAACAGTGGGCAGTCCTCCGTGGGGACCGGGCAACAGTCAGAGCCTGGCTTCTTGAGTATGTGATGGAGGGAGGGGGCAGGGGCGGGGCGGGGCACGGCCGGCAAAGCCTGGACTGCAGTTCCAGCTGCAAACACAGGGGTTCCTTCCCAAGTCTGCGGCCGGCTTGAATTGGGGGGTGGGAGGGGGAGCACAGAGGTGCGTGCCGCCACTCGGTGCACGGCCCAGTCCACACGGCTGACGGTCTGCGAGATCAGCCTTGGTGTTTTGGCAGCTGTGCCCTGGGGGGCGAGGGCTCGGAGCCCCGGGCTCCGGGCGGGCGGGGGTCGTGGGGGCTACAGCTCGTCGGAGCGGATGACGTGGAAGAGGGTGACGTTGTAGAGGATCTGGTGGCCGTTGTTCCAGGCGTAGAGGGCCCGGTCCTTGGGATTGTAGTCCAGCATGGAGATGTGGGAGTACTTGTTCTGGAAGGGGATGTCGATGTACTCGTAGGTGGAAGCGTTGGTCTGGTAGGCGTAGTGCACCTTGGTGCCCCCCGAGTAGCCGTTGGTGACGTACAGGGTCCCGCAGATGACGAAGGCTTCCCCGGCGCTGCGCTTGGGGTAGCTGGTGTTCCAGGTCTGCAGCACCTGCAGGGAGACCGGGTCCAGCTTGCTGATGACGATGTTGCCCGCGTTCTGGTTGGTGGCGTAGACGGCCCACAGCCCGTTCTCGTCCACCATGAGGTCGATGTCCGAGTGGCCGCCCCAGGCGTAGTGGTACATGTTGTTGTAGCCGGCGTAGTCCAGGCTGCGCGTCTTCAGGATGCTCTCGGTCTTCAGGTCGAACCGGATGACGATGTGGCTCTGGAACTTGTTGAAGTAGATGGAGCCGTTGTAGACCACCTGGCCCGTGCCCGACCACGGGTGCGGCAGGCGGTGCGACGTGAAATTGTCCGTGTTCATGAAGTCCGCCATGGAGCGGTACTCGCGCACGAAGCGGTTGTTGTGGTAGCCGTCCATGTACCAGACCTGTGGGAGGAGCAGACGGTCAGGGGCGCCCCCAGGCCCCGAGGAGGTGGAGGCGCCCAAGGATGAGACCCCAGTGCGCCCTCCCTGCAAACCCACGGAGCTTTCCAGAAGGGGTGGGATTGCTTCCGCTAGGGGCATGGGCCGCCAATGTGGAGGCAGGCTGGGGGAAGGATGCATGGGGGAGAGGGGAGCGGTGGCAGGGGGTGCAGCCAGGGACTGTGGTACGGCTGGGGGCGTGGTGTGGGAGGGGGCGTGGCCAGGGCGTGGCATGGCCAGGGGTGTGGCGAGGCCAGAGGTATAGGAACTGCAGTGAGCAGCCATCTGCCCAGCATCATACCTGATAGCCGATGCAGGGGCACAGGTGTGGGCAACTGTCATATCAGTGCCCCTTGGGGGAAAGCTGTCCAGCCGCTTTCCAGCGTGCTTTCATCGCTGCCCACCAGTCGGAGAGAGTGCAGTGCACCGGCCAGGGGCTGTGTCTACACCTATTCCTCTGGCTGAGAGGCAGCAGCTCTGGGAGCCGTGGACACCAGGCTGGCTTGTCCGTACAGGACCATCGGCGTGAGCAGGTGCTCCAGACTAGGGTGCTATGTTCCAGGGCCCAGGGTCCCTTCCTGTACCCAGAACTGGATGAGGTCGGGGTCTTTCAAACCCCAGGACGCAGGACTCACAATTTGCTGTGCTTAGGGAGTGTGCTTTCAGCCTGGGGGGTGGGGATGGGGGATGGCAGGGTGGGGCTTCCCCTTCAACTTGCCAATTTCAGAGAGGTGACCATTCCCTGAGGCAGGGATGGAACTATAAGGGAGCCCTGACCCCTCCAACCTGCCCGGGGCCAGTAGCTCCCACGCAAAGCCCCCAGGGTGTCCACGCCTCATCAGTTTCACCAGTGGGAATGGTGGGGGGCTGGGTGGAGCGAGGAGTGTGTGTGACCTCTGTGAGCAGCGCCCAGGGCTCCTGAGGTGGGGGATGCCCTCTGGCCATCTTTCTCTAGTAGCACTCAGGAGGGCCCGCCCTGCTCCCACCCACGCCCCCTCCCACATTCATTCTGCAGAACGGCCCAGGGGCGCCAGAGAAGAGCGCTCACCTGAACTGCCTCCTTGTCCGAAGCTGTTCTGGGCCCTTCTGTTCCTGGACCTGCCTGCTTTGGGACCAGTGCCCAGGACCTGCCAGGACAGCCCTCCTGTCCCTGGGGGACCCTGCTGGCCATCTCTGTTTGGCCCAGGAACGCGGGGCCCGCTCCAGCTCCAACACGGAGTCTCCAGCAGGGGCTTCTCTGAACTGAATGCCCAGCACTGCCGCCCACACCTTGACCAGGCTGCTCGGCCACCTGGCTAAGCGGTCTGAGTCTGCCCTTCTCCTCAGTGTGCCTGCACATCCACCTGCTCTTGGCGGAGGGGGCCAGCTCGTGCAGCACCAGACACGTGAGTGCAGAGCCCTGGGCGATGCTATTTAAAGGGCCTTAGCTCGATGACTTGGGCACCGAATCCGGTCTTGGCTTCGGTGTAGCAGGCATCTGTCCCTTGTCACATCTCTGACGTCAGGAGTGTGGAGGGGTGGGGATGGGGGACTGAGTCAGATGCCCAGAGGTTGGCAGGGAGCGGGAGGGACCAGCAGCCCAGTGTCCCGCCCAGCAGAGAAAGGGCGGTGGGTTTGCGTGTGAGGTGCCCCCGCGCCCCCACATCCTGACAACCTAGTCCACGTCAGGCAATGCCACCTGCCAGGCCCCCGCAGGACCCTCACTAACATCGAGAGGCTTCGGAAAGCGGCTGGGAAAGCGGGATTAGGTGATGGGGCACGTTCCCATCCACCTTTGGAAGTGTTCTCGTATCTGGGTGGCTCTGACACCATTTTTTAATGCCCTCATTGGGCTGCTAATCACAAGGTCAGCAGTTTGAAACCGCCAACCACTCTGCAGGAGAAAGACAAGGCTGTCCACCCCTCTAGGAAAGCCTCCTCTGAGAGAGGCACAGGTCAGTCCCCCCGTCCAGTCCCGCGCCGTGAGTGGGCATCCACTCGACGGCAGTGTGCTGGGTTTGGTGTGGGGTGCTGGAGGTGGTTTGCAATCACTGCTGACCCAGAGGCTTGTCCTCAGCCGAGCATCTGTAAACCTGACCGAGGGAGAAAGGCCTGGCAGTCTAAGGAAGCCCGGTGGAGCTGTCACACCCTGCCCCTTGGGGTGGGGGCGGGGCAGGGGGCTGGCATTGGCTCCATTGGGTCCCATGCTGCCCCTCAGCTCAGACAACGATTGGGATGGAGAGGTTGTGCTACCCCACCTGCACAGTGTGATGCTCTGGGCCCGGACAGCGGGAAGCTCTGGGTGCATCCTTCAGTCCGAGGGAGGGGACTGAGGCTGCTAAGGTATCAGCAGGGCTGAGATAGTTAAGGTTTATTGTGCCAACCTGGCCGATAAAGACTTGTGGGGTTAATTGAAGGGCGGAGAGATAAATGGCTTGGTGAGCCTCGCCTTTCTAGTTCTTGGGTCTCTTACTCTCTGATGGTCGGACCAGGGTGCAGCTGGTCTGCCAGTTCCCTGCTTCAGCTGGCAAGGCTCACTTTCTGCAAGACATCCCTGAGAAGAAGCCACATGGGCCCAACCCAATGCAGCCCTGGGTGCTGGAGCAGCCGTGTGGAGACCCCTGCCAGCGCTGAGATGCTTACACATTCAATGACTGCAGTCGGGGTCATTATGTGTGTTTTGTGAGATTGAGGAGGACTTTGTAGATTGGTGTCAGACATATGAGTTAATGTTGAACTTATGGGCTTGGACAGCACTGGGTTGGGATGCTTTCTTAATGTGCACTTACCCTTTATATAAAATTCTCTCTTATACATATACATTTTTGTGGATTTGTTTCCTTAGCTTAACCAGACTAACACAAGGGTTCTCCTGGGACTGCCAGGAGGCAGACACTGCAGCTTGCTGTGGTGGAACCGGGTCCCCGGCACACACATTGGCTGGTGACAGCTGGTGACACGGGTGCCAGCTTGGGGACGGCCACCGTCCTCCAGGGCTCGGTGAGGTGAGACAGGCCAGTCTGGGGGCCTGGGTGTGGTGGGGTCCCTGCACCTCAGTCTGGAACCCCCAAGGCCCTCCCCATGATGATGTTTCTTCTGGCTTGCCTACAGGGGGGCGGGGAGGGGGCAGGCAGAGTAGCAGCGGGGGATGCTCCCTCTGGCTGAAGGACCAGTAGGACAGTGTCCCTGAGTCCCCCAAGGAGAAGCAGCTCTGTGCTGCCAGCAGGGACCTCTGGCAGGCTGTCAGCTTTCTGCGGACTCTGAGGGAGACCAGCAGAAGGGGCGGCGGTGGGCTAGTTCCCCCCTCCTTCTCTGTGGCTTGCCCAGGGGGCAAAAGGCACAGGGTCTTTCCACAATCAAAGGGTGCGCTTCTCGGCCTGTGAGCGACATGCGAACCACCCTCAGCACCCAGAGCTCAGGGCACTCGGGTGGCAGCCTGGGGAGGGAAGGTGCCACTCCACAGGGTCTTGGAAAGCCAGCCCAGCCCAGGCTAACCCAGCCAACCTGCCCAGTGTACCCCAGGCTATTCCAGTCCACCCCAATCCAGGCCAGCCACGCCCCTCCTGGGGTCCCCACCCAAAGGGAGGGTCCTCTTCTGGCTGTGCACACAGAGCCTCTGAGGGGGCGACCCCTCCCCAATGACTTCCCAAGACCAAAGACCCCGGGAGGCACAGGGGGTGGGCATGAGGGCACTCACCCTGTTGTCGCCTTCAGGGGCCAGAGGGTCCGTCATCCACGACCCAAACCGAGAGCCGGAGGTCTTGACGGTCACGGGGTCACTGATGCCCGTCAGCTTGCCGCAGGCTGGAGGGGTGCAGTGGGGGTGGGGGTGTGAGCGCGGCCATGGCGGTGGTGGGGTGCGAGAGAGGGTGTGAGGGACCAGGGTGACCTTGAAGGGGGTGTGGGTGGGGAGGGGCATGGGAGGAATTTCTGAGGGTGGCTACAGTGGCCAGTCAGGGGAGTCCCCAACAGGGGGCTCAGGATCCCACAGTTGGGGGCACTGGGACACTGGCGGGTCAGGGGGTGTCAGAGTGACCAGGACCAGGGCGTGTCCAGAACAGCCCTCCCTTCCCAGATTGTGGATTACAGGGAGGTGGGTTCAGCTGGCACCACCTGTGCAGGGCTGAGCTGGAACCTGACTCAGCCCACGCACGGGCCTCCAGGGCAGCACGCGCGC